ATGCATATCTATATAATAAAATTAATTATAATTTCTCTATAAAGCATGCACACATATACCCATACATACATATAGATATATACATTCATACATGCATACATTCATGCATATTGTAGATATATACACAGACATATTTACACATACCCTTAAATACGCTTTCTCATAACTGGAGTCACCTGTGTATGGAGGTCAAGGGTCACTGAACTTACCAAACCAAATTTGAGTTCCAATAATTAGTTCTAAAGGTTTTGAAATCAATAAAATGACAACAGTGCCCAAATTTATGCACCTGCCTAATTTTATTTAACCAGTTACTGCACACTTTCTGTAAATTATATGAACTTTATTTCACTTTTCAAATATTACTGGGTTTTTCCCGTATATGATATACAGTATATTACAAATTTTTTTTCCAAACACTCAATGATTTATATTGTAAAGTTAAATTAGAAAAACTAAAAGGCTGCCCAAACTTTCACACCCCACTGTATATACAAAAGCTACAAAATATACACATTGTACACACTATAATCATTGTGGGCTTGAAAATATGGTGATCTTTTCATTTCCACAAATGTTCCATGCCTTGCTCTACAGCTTCTTTTCTTATTTACTTCCTACTACAGTAAAACAAAACATAACTGTCAGCTTAAATTATGAATGTAAATTGTCAACCCCCCACAATGGCTAGCTGGTTAGCCATCACATGTTTGGATCTAAAACCACCTGCCTGGATCTAAAAGTCCCCCAATATGTCAGCCCCCACTGTCTACAACCTATGCTGGAGTCTCTCACTTTGACTGTGGGACCTCCAGTCCGTACCCTGCACAGTACACTATTTAAGCCACTTGTTTATGCTTTGCCTGTAGAATAGTTGACTTTTCAGTACTAAACTTACAACTTTACATGGAGTGAATAAATCAAAGGCTACTTTTAAAATTAATAATTCCTAACATTGATAACTATTTGTTTAAGTTTGTTTTGTCCTAAATGCTTTGTTATTTTTTTGCTGCTCATAATACTTATTTCTCAAACCTCTTCTTTTTCTTTTGTGGCATTTTCTGTCTTTTCACTTCTTGTTGGCCAAAACTCTTCTCATGTGCATAACTGCAAGACAATAAGATCCATTTATGTGGTACTCACTGGATGCACACATGCAACGGCACTCCACATCTGCTCTGCAGCACAGCATTCAGTGGACTCCTGTAGATGGAGAAAGAAATTAAAAATTTACTGAAGACGGCCAAATTAACATGCTTTAGAGCAGAGGTAGAAAAATTATTTTACCAGCTAAACAGACTCTTATTATGATGTGTCCACACTGATCTATAAATCCTCCTGAATAATCTATTTCATTGTAAGTGCCTCCTTGAATTTCCAAAATAAATGAGTGCATTATGACATTCAGAAGTTTAATAATTCCCTTAGAACCAGCCTGTAATTAGGGAGCCCGCGAGAGGATATGGGGGGACTTTTTTCTTTTGCGTTCCCACGCAATACTGATTGCATTACCTCGCAATACATTTTGTGTTCCCTTGCAAAAGCCATTTATCACTGTTGTGCCTCCCAGTTTATTAACAAAGTCCCATGCTCACTATTAGCGAGTTAGCCTACTACTTTAATTCAGCTTCAGAATGAACATATCACAAAGCCACGCATGGAAGCATGTAATACGCCGATATTTTAACACAGTGCAGCCATGCAACATCAGTGTCAATTTCACAAACTTGTGGCGACACATCTTGTTTTGATAACTGGGAATTTCATAAAAAAAATCTGATTTAATTCAGTTCATAGAAAACAAACCTTTGCATGGGAATGCAAAACAATATTGCGAGGGAATGCAAACTTTGCGAGGTAATGCAAAAAGTTTTGCGAGGTAACGCAATAGTATTGCATAGGAAGGCAAAAGAAAAAATATCCCCATGTCCCCTCACAGGCTCCTTATGTATTCATATATCAGTCTTTGTTCATTTACATAGTAAAAATATTATTTTATCAAGTGAAGAAAAATATATTATGATGGTAAGTATAGGGTGCCAAATCCTTTGTTTAACACCTGACAAGGGAACTTTGATGCATGTTGCATTGACTGGTTCTTTTCATTTGGCCATCTCTCAAAGATCTTTGTACATATGTGCTTCAGATAAATTGTATAAAAACACAGAACAAATTACTTAAAATGACTTTTTTACACTTTGATTAAAAACAAGTTAGTGAATAAGCACATGCTTTAAAGACTTGAAAATCTTTTTTCCCAGAGTAATCTGGCCATTGATCTTTGCTGAGCTCATAAAATTGACCATTTTGCATTGGTGGTCAATAATTGGGCCACTTAAGCCACTTACTCAGCAGCAAAAACACCATTGCTACAAACAAGTATGAAGTTAAGTCCATTTCATTATAGGGACATCTTTGTGAGTGTGTGCGAAGTGGGGTTGGGGTCAGTGTTCATGTATTTTTAACCCATTAATTCATTAACATTATTGCAGGTTAATTTTAATAAGTAATTGTGTTACATTATCTTTAATGTTTGTTGTCAAAAACATATTCTATAGAAGATTTATCCTTAAATCAAATCTGACAAAGAGAACACTCAAAGATGGAGGAAAACACACAACGCACGCACGCACGCACGCACACACACACACACACACACACACACACAGTCAAGTGGTGGAAAGGGAAACCTGAGCCCGAGCAGGAGAGGGTTAACAGAAGTCCAAGAATAGTGGCAATCGATGGATGGGTAGATGGGTAGCTGGATGCCAAGAGAGAGGAAGGGAGGTATGAGAAGGGAGAGATGAGTGGTCTCCTGGGTGGAGTGGTGATAGTCTTGCTGTGTGTCTGTGAGACAAAGTCTTTTCCAAATTGAGAAGATAGCGGTAGGAGGAGAAAAGATGGAGGAAAAGCAGAGAAAAAAAAGAAATAAAACGGGTAAGGGGCTAGGGGTGAGGATGGGAGAGAGATAATCTTGGACCACATTTATAGACGCAATTAATGCAGAATGAAAACTGTGTTCAGTGTTCGACAACGACACCAGGAAACAAGTGGAATTCTTTATTTAGAGCTGCGCGATCCAGTGACCATATTACATAAAATAGAAAAAATGTTTAAGTTAATATTTTAGTGTTGAATAAATGATATGAGACAGTAGAAACGGTTTGTCAATTCAAGCAAAAAACATCTTTAATGTTCTAAACAAAGCAAAAAAAGAGGAAAGGTTATTGATTGTTTTTTATCTTTAACTAGGTCTTTGATGTCATTTTGTGACAGTGTTACAGTGCTACAGTGTACCTATGCCATACAGGCAAATTTTAAACTTATATTAATGTTCAAAGCATCATTTTGAAAATGAATGTGTCCACAGTAAAACAAAGAAATGTAGTATATAGGAATAAGGAAATATACAGGGAATGTAACTTTGATCACAGGTGGCACACATAACCACATAACTACACTTTTACTTTTAACACGCACACACACACACGCACACACACACACACACACACACACACACAC